AATGTCAAAGCTAATTAACGGTCTATATAATTTTAGTTTTAGTTTAAAATTTAAATAATTATTTTTTTAATTAGCAATAAATAGTCCATTGCAAATTTTATGTTGCCTTTAGTAATGAATTTTTCATTGTTAAGCATGTTGCTAATATTACAAAAAATAATATATATATGTAATCTGTTGCAAATATGTTACTGAATTTAGCAACAGAATTATTCGTTGCTAGAATTTGATACTAATAGCCTTATTTTTTAGTAATGCAATCTCAGAACCACTGGAGATTTACCTAATCGTTAATTTTAGGACCTTAAAGGATTAGTTAAGTTATGAGTAAGCTAACTAGATATCTAATTTAAAAAAAAAAAAAATTCAATGCACATGGTTTTCACCACCACTTTATTAAAATGAAGAACGAAATAGCCATTCAAGACAACACGGCCATCAACTCATCAACAAATACATCCATACTTGGTGTGCACTCTTATAGCCGTGCATGTTCACTATGTCCCTCACAAGAATGTCTCCACCCTAATACTATAGGGGTATCTTGCTTCTCCAGTAAAGTACCTATAAACCACATGATAGCACACGAGCCCTTTCTAGTGATAGCATCCCATCGTTTTGGCTTATATATAGTCAAGCCTTTGTAACTGACACCCTACATGTCCTCTTGCCAGCTCTTTCAGTTTCCCCTTCCTTTAGAATGATCAATTGATGCCCAGGACTGTAATTATACTTTTGCAAAGAACTTATAGATATGTATAGTAAGCAAGAAATTATAGTCCACCATGAGATTTTTTTTTCTCTACAACATAAAGTTTTGTTCTTATCATCCATAAACTTGTAAAGTAGTCTTGATTCAAGAAATATATATATATATATATATATATATATATATATATATATATAAGATGCATCTCTTGATTCATGCGAAATGCATAGTTAGTATGAGTGGTCATTTGTATAAATGCTTAGAATGCTTTGGAATTCATATAATTATTATTAATTTAATGAGATTATTTATACAGCTTTTTTTAGTAACAAGAACACAAGATAAGCTCCTTTATTGAAGGAGAACTAATAACTTGATAACAAAGGATAACATTAATTTAACTTAAAAAATACAAGAGTCCTAATTATATCAATAACCAATCTTCCTAAAGACCATATCAGTGGACGTTGCTGGCTAACATCCCTCCTCAAGAAGGATGGCCTTGAGTAAGTCAATCTTATCCTTGAGTAACTCAAACTAATAACAGGAAAGAGATTTTGTCTATGTATTAGCGAGTTGATCATTAGAGGAGACATGACAAACCCGAAGAACTCTATATTGAACTCTTTTATGGATAAAATGGAAATCAATAGAGATATGTTTCATCCTTAAATGGAAAACTAGGTTTGAACTTAGATGTGTTACACCAATATTATCACAGTAAATCACAGGAACTTGGTTAACTAGATATTGAAGTTCATTTAATAATGAACATACCCAGCTAATTTTTGAGGCTGTGTCAACCACAACACGACATTCAACCTGCGTAGATGATCGAGTAATGGTTAGTTGTTTTTTAGAGGACCATAAGATAGGATTCTGACCGATGTATAAAATGTAGGCATTGGTGAAGGAAAAGTCATCCTTGTTTCCCCCCCCCAATCTGTATTAGAAAACTTAGTTGTTTTTTAGAGGACCATAAGATAGAATTCTGACCAATGTATAAAATGTAGGCATTGGTGGAGGAAAAGTCATCCTTGTTCCCCCCCCAATCTGCATTAGAAAAAGCATACAAGTAAGCAGGTGATTGATGTTGCAGAAGAAAACCTATGGCACTGCTGCCAGAGAGATAACGCAATAGTCGTTTAATAAGTTTCCAATGGGCTTCAATTGTTTTATGCATGAACTGTGACAATTTATTCACAGCAAAGAATAAATCCAATTGGGTAAGTGAGAGATATTGAAGACTTCTATCAGTGGAACAATATTCAGATGAATTAAGGAGCAACTCACCCATTGCAAAAATAGAAGGAGGACTTGGTGGAAGTAGAGTAGTCACAGGTCATGAGTTGCTTATTTTGGTGCGATACAAGAGGTCTTGAATATACCTATGCTAAAAAAGCACCAACTTGTAAGGATGAGGTTGAATTTCCACACCAAAAAAATAAGTTAAAGGCCCTAGATCCTTTAGTGAAAACCACTTAGCTAAGTTTTGAACAAGGAGGTCAACCATATGGTCATTATCACCGGTGATGATAATGTCATTTACATGTACCAATACATATAGAAGATGTCCATGGTGTTTAAGAATGAACAAGAAAGTATCATTCACCAAATTTATAAAGCCGATATCAATTAGAAAAGTGCGTAGTTCATGGTACCACGCACGAGGTGTTTGCTTGAGTCTGTAAATGGCCTTACACAATTTGCAGATGAAATGTGGTTACTATTTATCTACTTAAGCAGACGGTCGAACTATGTATACATCTTATTGCAATTTACCTTGAAGGAATGCATTGTTGACATCCAATTGTTGTAGCCTCCACCTATGACTCACTACAATTGATAGAACAAGATGGATTGTGGTTGGCTTAACAACTAGATAAAAAGGTTAGGGTATAGTCAAGCACAGGCCTTTGATGAAAGCCTTTGGCTACCAAGCATGCTTCGTAACGAGTAACAAAGCCATTGAAATTTTATTTTACCCTGAAAATTCATTTACAACCAACTAAGTTAGAAGCACAATGAGGAGAAACCAAATCACATGTTTCATTTTGAATGAGAGCATTATACTCATCTTGCATGGCATGACACTATTTTGCTTCCTTTAAAGCATTTGTAACAAATGTTGGCTCTTGAATATCGAGTAAGGGAATGTGTGTATAGAAGGTGAGTTTACGGATAGGCTTGTGAATATTATTTTTTAATCTAGTGGTCATGAGATGTGAAGGTGCAACTGGTAGAGTAGGGGGAGGATGAATGAGCAAAGGGGATTGTAAGGTGGGCACTGTAGAGGAAGGTTGGGTGGGATACATGGTAAGAGGACTGTTGCTGGCTCGAGTGAAGGAGCTACTGATAGGGTGTTTTACATAAGTTTGAACTGCAAATGGCATGAATGTGGGAAGCACAGGTGCAAACGCTATAATAGGTATAATAGGAGATATCCATGGCTATAAAAGAGGAAGAGTTTGATACAAACTCTGATTGTAGTAAATTAGGAAAAGGAAAAGTGGACTCAACAAACTGAACATGACGTGAAGAAAAAAATTTGGAAGGCTGGGGATCAAAATAGATGTATCCACTTTGAGATAAGGAATAACTAAGAAATATGCAAGGTTTGGATTGGACATCATGTTTATGAGCCAAATATGGACAAAACCATGAATAATACAAGCACCCGAAAATGCAAAGTTTAACATAATTAGAAGATTTTTAAAAAATGGAGAAAAATAATTTAATAAAGGTGAAGGCATCTAATTGATTAAATAAATGGTAGTGGAAAACGCAAAAGACCAAAATTTTTAAGGTAATGATGCATGAGTGAGAAGAGAAAGACCAGTTTTTACTATATATCGGTGTTTGCGCTTAGAGACATCATTGTGTTCAAGTGTATGTGATGGGGAAGTATGATGAGAGATGTCATGTAATTGAAAAAAATCTTTGAGAGCTGTAAATTCACCTCTATTATAGAAATAAAAGGTTATAATTTTATGTTTGAAATAATTTTCAATAAAGTCTTTAAAGCGTATGAATGTAGGTTTGACATTAGATTTATGTTTTAGAGGATAGAACCATATATATATCTTGTAAAATGATCCATAAAAATAATATAATATTTAAAGTCATTAATGGAGTACAGAGGAGCACTCTATACATCAGAGAAAACTATTTCAAGAGGAGTATGAGACTCTAAAGTAGAATCTGAGAATGGAAGTTTATGACTTTTGTGACATTGACATGCATTGCAGGAAAAATGTTTTTGCCAAGGAAGAAATGTCTAGCTTATTTTTGGAAATTATAACATTGAGAATAGGTAACGATGGGTGACCTAATTTAAAATGTTAATTTATTAGGGTAATCTTTGAACCCCAACCATTCATAAATGCCACATTTGCTCTCACCGTGAGCCCAAACCACTCCCATTAGTAGATCCTTTATAAGAAAACACCAGGGTAAGAATTCAATAGAGACATTATTTGTTACACAAAACTAATAAATAGAGATGAGATTTTTTTTTAATGTTAGGAATGCAAAGAATGTTCTGAGATTAAAAAAAGATGAGCCTATATGTAAAGTTGATAAGCCTGTATGTGTATTGCACAAGTTTGTACCATCTCCAATCATAACACCATCTGAGCCAATGTATGAAGTGTGAAAAGATAGGTTATTGAGATTAGCTGTGATGTGGTGAAAAGCACCATTATCCAGCAGCCATGAAGGACTGCTGGATTCATTACTGGTGGCTAGATGAACCTGTGGCTGCCAGGAGTTGGGATTATTATTGGCCTTAAAAATAATTGTCTTTTGAGTGATAAACTTAAAGGAGAGGTATCTTTTTGTTATGTGCCCTTAGAGTCCATAGACCTAGCAGTATCTTAGGTAAGGATGAGGGTCAGGACATTGATGATGAAGGCCCTGATTATTAACATGTCCTCGTGGTCATGAAGAATATTGGGAGTAAGTGCCCTACAATGGTGAGGTTGGAGGATAAGATCGACTAAAAGAGTTCTGAGATTGATATCCAGGACGACCAGTTGCTGCATTAGCCGTAAGTGAGAATTATAAGGGAGCTTTGTGTGAGGCATGTAGAGAAGCTTCAAACATGAGTAATTTTTCATGAAGTTCATCAAAGGCTATTAAAGTGTCTCAGGCCTGTATAACACGCATAAGTTCTTTGTATTCATCGCCCAATTCTTCTAAAATTTTATTTATGATATCCTCACCATCAATGGAGGCACCCAACATTGCTAATTCATCAGTTTGTGCTTTAATAGAGTGAATAAAATCAAAGATGGTAAGAGAGCCCTTTGTGAGGGCTTTGAAACTGGCCTTGACTTGCTTGATGAGACCTCTAAAAGGGGTGGCATATGTTGATGCTAAAATTGTCTAAGTTTCCTGAGAGGTAGTTACATGAGCAATAAAAAAGATTATGGTGTGGTGAATCACTCCAATGAGAGCATTTAATATAAGTTGAGCTTGCTGTATCCATGCATGGTAGTCAGGATTGGGAGTGTTTGAGTTATTGGTGAGGAGATATTATGGTGGACAAGGTTGTGTTCCATCAACGAAACCTTGGAGATCATAACCTGTAAAAAATGTTTGGAATTACAACTTATATGACAGATAGTTGAAGCTGGTGAGTTTGAGAGAAGCCTGTGCCATGACATTTATGGTCACCAGGTTGGGTAGACCATTTATAAATTGTTTGGTGGTGTTGGGATCAGTCATGATGAGAAAAAAATAAAAATTAAGAATGATTTGATACCATATAAACACTAATAAATATGTTTGGTATTGTGGTAGCTTTTATTG